AGTAGTAGTAGTAGTAGTAGTGTAGTAGTAGCAGTAGTAGTAGTAGTAGTAGTGGTAGTAGTAGTAGTAGTGGTAGTGGTGGTGGTAGTGGTAGTAGTAGTGGTAGTAGTAGTAGTAGTGGTAGTGGTAGTAGTAGTGGTAGTAGTAGTGGTAGTTGTAGTGGTAGTAGTAGTGGTAGTAGTAGTAGTAGTGGTAGTAGTAGTGGTAGTAGTAGTAGTGGTAGTGGTAGTGGTAGTAGTAGTGGTAGTAGTAGTAGTAGTGGTAGTGGTAGTAGTAGTGGTAGTAGTAGTAGTAGTAGTAGTGGTAGTGGTAGTGGTAGTAGTAGTAGTAGTAGTAGTAGTAGTAGTAGTTCTTCTTCTTCTCTTCTTCTTGCATCAGCAACAGTAGTAGTTATATTGCCAATGTCAACAGTACGGGAGAAGTATCAGAGATTGATGGGCGCGTGATGTTTGTTTCTATATCTCATATCGTTGCGTCAATCAGGTCTTATCTGTCAAGGGTTAATGTCCCATCAGTTAGGTTCTGCAAAGTCATTTCTCAAACTTGGCACAGTTCCTGGGTCAGATTACAAAAAGATGTCTAACTACCCATGAGATAACTGTCTGATATCAACAATACAACAACATAAATGCTCGCATGCGATAATCTTCAAGAAACACTACTGCTGTTGATTGCACGATAAATAATGCTCATTTGGAGCATTCTGCGCATGCCCAGAAACCAACTGCACGCGATGGACATGTTTCAGGGTCACGAAGGTCATTCTGTAGTAAAGGGCTCTGATTGTTTTCATATTCATAATTATTCATATTTACTCGCGTATGAAATATACTACATACCACACAACTCATCCAGTGATAAGATCAAACGATACAAGCGTGCTGGTGTTTGGCAGTTATTACCGGAATGTTATGCTATCCTGACAACTCCTTACAGTCAATGCAACTCAGGTCGGGCGTGACGTGTTGAATCTTTTAGTCACGTAAGAGTTGAGAAAATTGTGTTTTGAAACCTTCCCACAAATATAAACTCCTAACTCCACCTGCCACACGACTATCTCACCATAAAACACCCGCAGAAAGGGCCTGTCTGTAATTAACGCTGTGGAATCCGTCTATCGGGTGCGTTATCAAGCCCCGCCCGAGATCCAATACCCGGATGATATGTTTTTAAACAGACGCTGGCGATGTGGTTCAATAGTTAGGGTAGGGGTAGATAAGGGGTAGGGTAGAGGTAGGATTTAGGTGACATACCCCTGATGACGAGCACATTTTGCGGGTTACTGACTTCAATTGATAGTTTCAACTTGTTTCGACATTTGAAGACCTTGGAGAATTCAAGGTTAGTTTACAGGAGAATAGTTCAAAGCCAGATTTCTTTTCAGCCTCTTTGATGACGATGAGTGTGTGAATGTTGTGTTATGCCGCTGCAATATTCCTGCTGTCATGGCAACCTGTGACGTCATCATGTACGGCATTGAACTTTTTCTCGAACACTATTTATTAGTGATTCATAATACAGTCAAAATGGTACATCGGACTCTTATGAATGGGGGGGACGGGTGGGGTGTGTGTGTGTGTGTTTGTGTGTGTGTTTGGGGTTAGCCTAATGGTTGAAGCGTTCGCTCGTCACACCGAAGACACAAGTTCAATTCCCACATGGGTGCCATGTGTGAAGCTCATTGACCGCCGCGATATTGCTGGAATATTGCTTAAAGCGGCGTAAAACTCAACTCACTCACTCACTCACTCGCTCGCTCACTCATGAATATGGAATGGCTTTTGTCGCGTGTATTTACAAATGACAATCAACCATGTCAGACATTCTGTCCACCCGATCCTCATTTTCATATATTTCATCTTATTTTCTCCACGTGGAAGGGGATTTTGTTGGGGAAAGGGGATTTGGACAGGAGGTTTTTATACCAGGGAGCACGTGCTCATCAAATTATATTCATTAAAGCATATTCCACCGTCAGTGCTTTCAAATAACGCTGGCACGCCACCAAAAACATACTTGTCGAACAAAAACATGGAGAATGGAATGTTCGATGGCCTCATTCTGTGAACCTCATAATATGTCTAGTCATCTAGGTGAGATATTCTATGTCGGGAACAACTCCGCGACTTCCAATCTTTAAAAAACAAACAAACAAGTGCTGGTACAACCGCACCTTCACATTGCTGACCCGTTAAAGCAGGAAACATGTAGATCGATATCAAACCTTTTTAATGCTTTGATGTGTCCATATTCGGATTAAATACATTAGATTTAAGCCGTTCGTGGTTTGTCACGCACTATGTTTTGCGCGTAGAAATAGCTATGATAATTACCCACAGTCCTTCAGATGACACGTGACTTCATATCAGGTGTTCAGATCATGAGGATCCGCGTTACCGTGGTGACAACTTCTATTGGCGAAAGGAGACACTACCATGATTTTAGAGAATGGTAGTGACAACGTGAGGCACAATTCTAGAGACAACATGAGACACAATGGTAGAGACAATGTAAGTGAGTGAGTGAGTGAGGTTGGTTTTACACCGCACTCCAGTGTTAGTGAAAACGGTAGACACAATATTAGTGACAACAGGAAACACAATGGTAGTGACAATGGTAGTGACAACATGAGACACAATGGTAGTGACAACATGAGACACAACGGTAGTGACATCAGAAACAATGGTAGAAACAACATCAGACACAATGGTAGTGACATCAGCAACAATGGTAGAGACAACGTGAGACAGTGGTAGGGACATCAGACACAATGGTAGTGACATCAGACACAATGGTAGTGACAACATCAGACACAATGGTAGTGACATCAGAAACAATGGTAGAGACAACGTGAGACACAATGGTAGAGACATCAGACACAATGTTGTCAGACAAAATGGAAGTGACAACATTAGACACAATGGTAGTGACATCAGACACAATGGTAGTGACATCAGACACAATGGTAAAGACAACGTCAGACAATGGTAGTGACAACATCAGACACAATGGTAGTGACATCAGACACAATGGTAGTGACATCAGACACAATGGTAGTAACAACTCGAGACACTACCACAACTGGAGACATAACGGTAGCCACAATGGAGTAGTGGCAACAGCAAACTCAACGACAGTGTCAACAGGTGACAGTAGTAGCGACACAATCGGACCACATTCAACGGTAGACAGCAGACAGCTGGAGTCTTGTAGGAGGCTAGACTCAGGAGATAGACGTGGATAGACAAGTGAAAATAGAAATATACGTTTTATATTTCCAACAAACAAACGGGACCCCTTCCGTGGTGTAGTGGTTTTAGCATCCGACCGGAGAGCGGAAGGTCGCGGGTTCGATCCCCGACCGCGGCATACAAAAAGACGTTAAAATATGGTACTTGTTGGTCCCTGCCTGGCGCTCGGCATTAATGGGAACAACAAGGACTGGTCGGCTCGGAGTCAGTATAATGTGTCTGAGTAGGTATTCATGCTTCACTGCGGCATGGTATCTCAGTGGGCTAGCATTATAAAACCAGATTAAGTCTGGGCTAATACAAGGAGCCAAACACACACGCATGTACGTCGTCATATGAGCCAATATTCTTAAGTGTGACGTTTAACCCCATTTCACCTCACCTCACCTCACCTCACCTAACCTCACCTAACCTCACCTACAGACAAACCATAAACCCCAGTCGTGACATACAGAATGACTGATATTGAACGAGAAATATTAGACGAAGCAAGTAAGTGTGCTTTTACCCGCTTAAAGAAATCCAGCTATATCACGACAGGGGACAGAAATGGGCTTTACACATAACATGTAGGGGATCGAACCGGTCAGGTCAGTATGATGAGCGGACTCTTGAACCACTCCACCACCCAACTACTCCACACACAGGGATCTCAACTGAAGCAGAGACGGGTGTGTGGCGTAGTTTAACATCGAGGATGCGGCAGAGAACTGATGGCAGACTGGGAAGTATACAAGTGATGGGGTAATGTGTGCCTTGCAGCTCACATACGTATGTAGGTATATCAACCAGGCAGTTAAATGTCTTGCGATGGAGGAGGTAGACAGCCATCTGTGAAGTGATGTGTGAGGAGAGGTACCCTCGGACAGACTATAAACAGGGCTGACGGACAGGAGAGACACAGAGAGAGATTGGGAGGGTCAGGAGGAGAGAGACATGAGAGAGAAGGGGAGGGAGAGGAGGGAGACATGGGGAGGGACAGGAGAGACATGGGGAGGGACAGGAGATACATGGGGAGGGTCAGGAGATACATGGGGAGGGTCAGGAGGAGAGAGACATGAGAGAGAAGGGGAGGGAGGAGGGAGACATGGGGAGGGACAGGAGAGACATGGGGGAGGGACAGGAGATACATGGGGAGGTCAGGAGAGACATGGGGAGGGTCAGGAGGAGGAGAGAGACATGAGAGAGATAAGAGGGGAGGGAGAGGAGGGAGACATGGGGAGGGACAGGAGAGGATGGGGAGGGTCTGGAGGAGAGAGACATGAGAGAGAAGGGGGAGGGAGAGGAGGGAGACATGGGGAGGGACAGGAGAGACATGGGGGAGGGACAGGAGAGACATGGGGAGGGACAGGAGAGAGATGGGGAGGCACAGGAGGGAGAGAGACAGATGAGGACATGGGGAGGGACAGGAGGGAGTGAGACAGATGAGACATGGGGAGGGACAGGAGAGAGATGGGGAGGGTCAGGAGAGACATGGGGATGGACAGGAGAGAGAGAGACAGATGAGACATGGGGAGGGACAGGAGGAGTGAGACAGATGAGACATGAGGGAGGGAGGGACACAGAGAGAGATGGGGAGGGTCAGGAGAGAGAGACAGATGAGACATGGGGAGGGACAGGAGGGAGTGAGACAGATGAGACATGGGGAGGGACAGGAGAGAGAGGGGAGGTCAGGAGAACATGGGGATGGACAGGAGGAGAGAGCAACAGATGAGACATGGGGAGGGACAGGAGGAGTGAGACAGAGAGATGAGACATGGGGAGGGACAGGAGAGAGATGGGGAGGGTCAGGAGGAACATGGGGAGGCACAGGAGAGAGATTGGGAGGAGGTCAGGAGGGAGAGACAGGAGAAACATAGGGAGGGACAGGAGAGAGAGATGGGGAGGGTCACAGGAGACATGGGGAGGAACATGGGGAGGGACAGGAGAGACAAAGGTGAGAGACATAGGGGGGGGGAGGGACAGGAGAGACATGTGGAGGGGAGAGACATGGGGAGGGACAGGAGAGACATGGGTGAGAGACATGGGGAGGGGACAGGAGAGAACATGGGGAGAACAGGAGAGACATTGGGAGGGACAGGACAGGAGAGGCATGGGGATAGACAGGAGAGACATGGGGAGGGGAAGGAAAGACATGGGGAGTGCTGGGAGAGACATGGTGAGAGACATGGGGAGGGACAGGAGAGACATTGGGGGGAACAGGAAAGACCTGGGGAGGGACACACACAAAGAGAGACAAGGGGAGCGACGAGAAAGATATCTTGAGAGACAGAAGAGAGGCATGGAGAGAGACACCGAGAGTGACACAAGCAGATATTGCTGCCTACGTTCCAGAGAACAGCAGCAGCGACACCTAGCGGCAACCACAAAGACAGGTTATGTTGCAAATACTGCATTATTTTCACAGCTGGGGTACTCCGGCCGTGAGAAACGTCCCAGTACGCATACCTACATCAGGTGAAATAAACCATCCACTTGAACCGCGATCTTTCAAGTAGAACAGCGCTGACAGCAAGGAGAAACGGGGGACTTTTATCCCCTCTTTAGAGTACACGTACACCTGTGGATATGGAAATGTACTGTTACAACGTTACAACAAATTATTGTAGAATGTAGCTTGGGGAGCGTCAGCCACTGAAATAATATGGAGGCTCTTAGTGACGTACATATAATATTTATATGTACGGAAAAACTGTTGTATCAGACTGTTCTACTCCGAAACTACGGGTAATGGCTGTAGTCCATAGCCTGTAAACGACAGTCTGGACCAGATAACCCAGTGACTGATATTGGTGTTGTGGGGTATAAATGGAAGAAATAGTGTTGTGGGGTATAACTGGATAATGTCGGGTGTTGTGGGGTATAACTGGATGAAATAGTGTTGTGGGTATAACTGGATAAAGTCGGGTGTTGTGGGGTATAACTGGGAGAAGTCGGGTGTTGTGGGGTATAACTGGAAGAAGTCGGGTGTTGTGGGGTATAAATGGGTGAAGTCGGGTGTTGTGGGGTATAACTGGAAGAAGTCGGGTGTTGTGGGGTATAACTGAAAGAAGTCGGGTGTTGTGGGATATAAATGGAAGAAGTCGTGTGTTGTGGGGTATAACTGAAAGGAGTCGGGTGTTGTGGGGTATAACTGGAAGAAGTCGTGTGTTGTGGGATATAAATGGGTGAAGTCGGCTGTTGTGGGGTATAACTGGAAGAAGTCGGGTGTTGTGGGGTATAAATGGAAGAAGTCGGGTGTTGTGGGGTATAAATGGGTGAAATCGGGTGTTGTGGGGTATAAATGGAAGAAGTCGGGTGTTGTGGTGTGTAAATGGTTGAAGTTGGGTTCTGTGGGTTGTAACTGGGTGAAGTCGGGTATTGTGGGGTATAAATGGGTGAAGTCTGGTGTTGTGGGATATAACTGGAAGAAGTCGGGCGTTTTGGGGAATAAATGGCTGAAGTTTGGTTCTGTTTGGTGTAACTGTATGAAGTCGTGTGTTGTAGGGTATAATAGGATGTGTTATGTCCATCTTCAGTCGGTTCCTCTTCTTTGCTACTACCTTGTATTTGCGCGTGCAGAGGTTGGGCGATTCGATTTAGACGAGAGGGGCGTAGCCTTGTTACAGGTTTTGCATAACAATGTCAAACACATCGTGTTCTTGCCCTGGGGCCCTTGTACCTCGGCATTTCAAAAGGATGCACGCAGACACACTTCAAGTACTCTCAAATTCCTATTTCTAAAACGTATAGGGCGAGGATTAAATAAAAAGTTATAAAGTTTAAGGTAATTTATACGGAAAGAATTATTTAAAAACATGAAATGTCAACCATAACGGTTATATTACGACAAAGGTGTCATGCTATAAACTGTAGCATGATAGTTGAAGATTATAGTTAGCTGAAAATTTCCATTTTCAGTTCCCCTGTCAACTCGACTCGATATGCATATTCATATCACATATAGAATTCTTCACCATCTGCTTGGATGTATTAGATAATTTCTTTACCGCGTTAATGTTGTGTCGTGTATATAATTAATCCCTTAAGAGAAGGGGATAGGCGTAGCTCCAACAATGCCAATCTCCCTGGTGAAGTTATGGCTTTCCTGACGTCAAAGTTTTCAAGGGTGTTTGTTTCCCGAGCACATTTCAATCCACCTTGTATACATGTTTAAGAAATATTAAAGTTCATTCGTTTAGAAAGTAATCCATGGCGGAGCGAGAGAGAATTAAATATTTTTAGAAAATGTTAAGACAAACATAATATCATTTATAACGTGTAATATATATTATATTCTTCTTTTTGCCATTATTGTTGTATATATGTCGATTTAGACTAAAATCGATTGTACTATTATCCTCGATTTTCTTTCTCAGCTCCCTTAGGAGTAGACACCCAAAACTGCCTGTGAGGCGCTAGAATGTTACAGCCCCGTAACTTCTTCCGGGTACCCACTCACTGCTGGGAGAAAAAGCGTATTTATAATAATCACTTCTCTAAGAACACACCACATGTGATTTTGTGAGCTTCAATTTGGGGCAGGATCGAAACTCGGAAAAGCTCATGAGTTTAACACCCATGCATCTACTCTACGCCACCGACGTCGCTCAAGTGGATTTGAGAAGTTGAATCCGTAGTGATCCGGTTTAGAATTGGTCTTGGCAACCCATGCTTCTCCTAACAAGCGACTAACTGGATCGGTGGTTAGGCTTGGCCTCGCTTGGCCCCAATTGCGTGGTTCATTATGTCGATCACGGGATTGTCTGGTCCCGAATCGATTATTCAAAGACTGTGGTCATATAGCTGCAAATAGCCGAGTGCGACAAACACAGTAAGGCAGAACCTTTGTAGATGTGACCTTACGTTTGTTGTCGACGACACACCTGTAATATACTCATGCCAATAATGGTTGTCAGACCCCTCCCCACCCCTCTGGATTATTATTATTATCACTTGCCAATAAGGACGTATTCTGATCGTATTAAAAAAATTTGACTCTTCATTTTTTAAAACTGCCTTGTTGTGAACCACATTTCAAATTAAGCATATGGCATATTAATATTTCCTTGCGAGTTCCTTATCTGGGTGTAGCTTCATTCTCTGTCTAATAAGTTGTCATGATCAGGTCACAGCTACACTACTAGCCAAAACACACTTGACCCTCGCTCGTTAACGTCGCGAATATTGTACGTGGCCCTCGCGACAGTTGTGCGTTAGTTATGGGGGCTAATACTGCTCTAAAAGGGAGAGGTCGACTTGATCACGAGCCAATCGCGGTATATTTGCGTCGCGATTTCGAGTGTGGGACGCTTGTTTTGTCTAGTAGTGTACCTTTTGCGAGGTGGACGCCAGTCGTTGCGAAGTAGGTCTGTAGACACCTCGTAATGTATGGGTGTAAACCTTCATAACAATTTCAGAAATGCGAATAAAGCACTCAAATGCTATGTGTCCGAAATTTAAATCCTTAATAGATGGTACAAAAACATTCTATATTATATATTCAATAGTTTTTGTTTTCATTTAGGGTCACCTTGACAAAGCCGGAAGCCATATGACGTACTGAAGATCACGTGATTCACCACATCTTTACTGGCGTCATTCGAATATTTGTCAAATGTAAATATGCTGATAAATGAGGAACACGAAAACAGAGTATTCAATGTCGTCCGTTACCTTTTTTCATCAATGAAAAACTCGGTGTTGATAACAGTTGATATGCTATTATCCTTTTACAAATAACAGGGAATTGAGAACGACACCTTAGGGTTGATATAGTTGATGTCTTCAGTTGTACTCAACTCTTCTGTACTCTTCAAGTGCGTGGAAATATGTCATGTATTGTGCATTATGTCTTGTGGTGTAGTGTTATTGCATACAAATGCGTTTTACTGTCCCGGGGTGAGTCGCCCAGCTGTTAATGCATCGACCCGTTACTTTAAAGATACGGTATTCTATTTTGTTGGTATGGATACAATGTTTCATGCCAAATCATGTGTCCCATTGTGGTTGAGATACTGCTAAAAGTGGTCTTGAATCTACTCACTAACTCACTCGCACACCCAAACGCCTAAAATGGAAATTCACAAAAGTCAACTCACTCATTCGCCTTCACATGAGGGTGATGCTCGACGTCCACGTTATGGACATATTGTCCTTCAGGTAACGGTGATGCTCGACGTCCACGTTACACGCATATTGTCCTTCAGGTAACGGTGATGCTCGACGTCCACGTTACGGACATATTGTCCTTCAGGTAACAGTGATGCTCGACGTCCACGTTACGGACATATTGTCCTTCAGCTAACGGTGATGCTCGACGTCCACGTTACACGCATATTGTCCTTCAGATAACAGTGATGCTCGACGTCCACGGGAACATATTGTCCTTCAGGTAACGGTGATGCTCGACGTCCACGTTACACGCATATTGTCCTTCAGATAACAGTGATGCTCGACGTCCACGTTACACGCATATTGTCCTTCAGATAACAGTGATGCCCGACGTCCACGGGAACATATTGTCCTTCAGGTAACGGTGATGCTCGACGTCCACGTTACACGCATATTGTCCTTCAGGTAACGGTGATGCTCGACGTCCACGTTACACGCATATTGTCCTTCAGGTAACGGTGATGCTCGACGTCCACGTTACACGCATATTGTCCTTCAGGTAACGGTGATGCTCGACGTCCACGTTACGGACATATTGTCCTTCAGGTAACAGTGATGCTCGACGTCCACGGGAACATATTGTCCTTCAGGTAACGGTGATGCTCGACGTCCACGTAACACGCATATTGTTCTTCAGATAACCATGATGCTCGACGGCCACGGGAACATATTGTCCTTCAGGTAACGGTGATGCTCGACGTCCACGTTACACGCATATTGTCCTTCAGATAACAGTGATGCTCGACGTCCACGTTACGGACATATTGTCCTTTTAGGTAACGGTGATGCTCGACGTCCACGTTACGGACATATTGTCCTTCAGGTAACGGTGATACTCGACGTCCACGTTACGGACATATTGTCCTTCAGGTAACGGTGATGCTCGACGTCCACGTTATGGACATATTGTCCTTCAGCTAACGATGATGCTCGACGTCCACGTTACACGCATATTGTCCTTCAGGTAACGGTGGTGCTCGACGTCCACGTTACACGCATATTGTCCTTCAGATAACAGTGATGCTCGACGTCCACGTTACGGACATATTGTCCTTCAGGTAACGGTGATGCTCGATGTCCACGGGAACATATTGTCCTTCAGATAACGGTGA